ATATATATATATATATATATATATATATATATATATATCGATTTGGAGAGGAGGAATAGAAAAGTCTGTTATTAAATATTATGGATGTTTAGCTAGAATAGGACATAAGGATTTAGTGTCATTGGAGTTTAGAAATAGTAAATGAAATGCCAGTATGTGGTTATGTATTAAATTTTGGTATATTTTATGATGAAGGACGTTTAAACAATTATAGTCAAATGAAAATGGAGGTATGATGATGGTAACATGTATAAATATTTGAGTTAAAATACTTAAGTTAATATGAATTATATTTCATGACTGTGGAAGAGATGCACGAAAGCCTTTTTGTAACTAACTGATACACTTTCTACAGTAGGTAAAGAAGATTTTATGTGTTTGCTTTGAAAATTAAAATTAAAACTATATATAAAAAAAGAATTGTTTTTAATGGTTGGATGTCAACACTATTCATGTTTGGTCTGGACATTTCCCCCTATAAATAAATCCCCGATATCAGTATTTAATAAATGTAATAATCAGCTAGTCTTTAAATAAATGTAATAATCAGCTAGTCTTTAAATAAATAAGGCAAAGGTTGAAGGCATCACAGCTGTTTTGATAGCCCCGAGAAGGACCTCACAATTCACACAATTCTGCTCCTTGGAATACAACAGCCATAACTAACCGCAGACACTGAACCGCCTTGTTGGATAGGGAGCTCGAGTAAGCGATCCCAGCTGCACAGAAGAGAAGCAGAGAGAGAAACTGACTAGAAACCGACCATTTTTTTCCTGAAGGACTAAATTATCATTCCTAAAATTGACAATTTGGGATTTTTTTTAAAAATGGCAATCATAAAAAGATTTGAAGACGTCCTTCCAACCACTTGCAGGCCGTATTTATTTATATTTATCCGCTGAAAGAACTTTTCCTTTCAATACATTGAGTCGGAATTGCAATGCAAACCTGTTTCAGAGGCCTAGGGGTTGGACTAGATGACCTACAAGGTCCCTTCCACAACTCTCTTAATCTGTGAAATCTGTTCCGATGTCAATGCCTGCAAACCCATTCAAGAGAAAATTGCACACAACTCACCGCAAAACCCCACAATCACAAATTCAAAGCAAACTCATCCCAATAACAACTCCCAAAGCAGAAAAAATATTGTGTGTTAGCCAGGAACCCAACACAACCCCTTAAAGATGCAACTACAGATTTAGGGATGAAGCCTAACCCCCAAACCAAGATGGTTTGAGGTTCCTGTGCTCTGGTCAGCATCCCTTTTCCATGCAGGCTGGGGATGATGGGTGCAGGAGTGCTTCTGAGCTTATAGCCTGTTTTCTCTTCCCTTTAAAAAATATCTGCTTTGAATCTTTTTTCCCCACTTCTGCTTTTTTTTTCTTCATTGTTCACTCAACACACTAACACCAACCATTTGGGGGAGGTGGGATTCCCCTTTTTTTATGCTGCCACCTCTCCTGTCACCCCCTCCCCAATCAAAACTCCCAGGGTCTCAATTCCCCAAAGCAAGAAGAGAAAGATTTCTCCAATCAATTTAAGGATGACAAAGCTAATTCTCCTTTGGGGCAAAAAAAAGTCTTGAATAATGACCCAGAGTAACTGACCCCCACCCCAAATCTCCCCCACCCCAAAAATCTCCCCCTCTTCTCTACACACACACACACACACACACCCCTCCCACTCAATTTCAAAGGGGGGGGGACAGGAATTCAGAATCAGCAGATTTTCTGCCCCTCCCTGGCCAGTCATGGAAAAGGGGGGGGTGTTGCCAAGAGATGTGGGCAGGGGGCTCTATTCCCACGACCTCTCCCCCCATCCTCGCTGTCTGCAAAAGCATGCAGGCGTGGGGGGGGGGCTACATTCCCACGACTCCCCCCCCTCCACACATACACACACTTTGCACTCATTCTTGTCCCTCCCCGGGGTGGGAAAGCCCCCACCCCACCCCGGGCGATTGGAAGGGGGAAGCCCCCAAGTTGCAACCCAGCCAGGGTCGTGGGAACCACACCCGCTTTGCAGAAAGCGTGCACGCCTCGGGGGGGGGGGTATGGGGTCTTTATTCGGCTTACCTGGCCACGGAGGGGAACAAAGGGAAGGAAGGAAGGAAGGAAGCGGGTTGCAAAAGCCCACGCAACGGCGCTTGCAAAAAAGAAAGCGTCCACACCGCGCGCGACGCCTCTCTCGCCTTTGCATCCCCGGGGAGTGGAGCTCGCGCGTGCCCAGCCAGCCAGCCAAGCAGGCGGACCCATTGCAAGGCGGGGCTCCGTGCAAAAGCCAGCCCACTCCCCCTTGCCAAAGGCTGCAAGGGGGATCCGCCTTCCAGCTTTGCAATGGATGCACAGACACACACACGCACACAGGGGCGCGTTCCCACGACACGCGTGTCCCTGCCGGCTGGTTGAACCTCCCCGTGACCGTCTGGGCCTTTTCTTTAGGGGGTTGGGATGGATGACCTACAGGGTCCCTTCCAACTGTGTTAAACCTGGTATTAAAAGGACAGCCTCCCCCCCCCCCTCCAGGAAGTTTGGCAACTTCTTTAGGGGGTTGGACTAGATGACCTACAGGGTCCCTTCCAACTGTGTTAAACCTGGTATTAAAAGGACAGCCTTTTCCCCCTCTCCAGGAAGTTTGGCAACTTCTTTAGGGGGTTGGACTAGNGGTCGCGATGGATCGGACACAACATCACAACTAACAACAACAAAGGAGCAAACGTAGAAAAGAGATATCCAACAAATGTTTCCCAACGCATTTTAGGTCACATTTATTCCAGGTTAAACTTAGATTTAAGTTCTGAAGAGCAGCAAAAATGGAGAATCAGTTAGTGGGTGTGGCATTTCTCCAATAATAATTTAAAATTGTGCCGATCACAAGCTGCGTTCTCTTAAGTTACGCTTGTCTCAACTTGTTTTCAAGTAGGCAATTTAATTCGGGGTTATTTAAGAACAAAGGCATCATCCGTGCACCCACCCTTTTCTTCTGCCCCCCCTCCCTTGAACAATTGGGGTTACCGCTTACGGTAAAACAAATTATATTCAATTTTTAATTTAATGGGAAGGGCGCTCAGCTTATACCATCAAAGGGTGCTTTCTGACGTATCAAAATAACAACTCCACGCCTGCAGCCCTTTCAGATAGAAAGTAGTTTGGCGCAGACAACAAACCTGCTTTCTAAAAATTATTGCAACTTATTTAAAAGGCACTGCCAATAGAAAAAAAAAGCTGTAGAGTTTACACGCAGCAGAGGCTGAAATAACAAGGCATTTTGCATGTGAATTGGAGCATGCAACATTGGTCAATACAGATAAAGATCCATCTGGAACAACAGACCTGGACGCTAGGATAATTTTTTAAAAAAGTGAATTTTGCAAGAAATTCTCAAAGACCACTGAAGTCTATTCAAGAGTGTTTTACACTGGTACAAAACTAAGACAATTGGGAGATACTAAAATGTGCTTTTACAGTCGTACATTATATTCGATTTAAGAGCCACTTACATTCAGCGTAAAAATAAGACCACTTGGAGAGATTATGAATTGTTTTGTTGTTAAATATTATGGAAGTTTATCTAGAAAATAGGACATAAGGATTCAGTGTTATGGGAGGATTTTAGAAATANTGAAAAGAAGGACCAGGGGAGACATGATAGCAGTCTTCCAATACTTGAGGGGCTACCACAGAGAGGAAGGGGTCAAGCTATTTTCCAAAGCATCTGAGAGTAGAACAAGAAACAATGGGTGGAAACTAATCAAGGAGAGAAGCAACTTAGAACTAAGGAGAAATTTCCTAACAGTGGGAACAATTAATCAGTGGAACAACTTGCCTCTAGAAGTTGTAAATGCTCCAACACTGGAGGTTTTTAAGATGATGTTGGACAACCATTTGTTTGAAATGCTTTAGGGTCTCCTGCTTGAGCTGGGGGTTGGACTAGAAGACCTCCAAGATCCCTTTCAACTCTTATCATTCTGTTGCTCTACAGCAGTGTTTTTCAACCTTGGCGACTTTAAGTCCTGTGGACTTCAATTCCCAGAATTCCCCCAGCCAGCTCTGCTGGCTGGGGGATTCTGGGAATTGAAGTCCACAGGACTTAAAGTCGCCAAGGTTGAAAAACACTGCTCTACAGGTAGTCCCTGATTTATGACTACAATTGAGCCGGAGATTTATGTTGCTAAGTGAGAAATTTCTTAGAGGAGAGTTTTTCCTCCATTTCTTTTTCTTGCCGCCTTCGTTAAGTGAATCCCTGCGGTTTTTAAAATTAATAAATCTGGCTTTCCCAATCAGTTTGCTTCTCCGGAACGTCGCAAAAGAGAAATCCTTTTCGTTGTTGTTTAAAAAAAATCCCTTTTATCTGTTGGAAGAGAAGTGCTCCTTTGCGAGAGAAGAGATCTTCCTTGCCAAGGTTCGGAAAGAATCATGGGGTTCTTTCTGGACAAGGGGGATCGCTCAGTGGTCCACTTTCCCTCCTACATATTTCGTAGCATTCTGTCATTCCTCGGCTCGATCTAGCGTATTTTTCGGAGTACAAGGCGCACCAATCAGGTGCGTCTCTTGGCCTGGTTTACAAAAGCCATGATTTATAATTATGATGGATGGGCAGGCTTCCTTACAATCGTTAAGTCAAGGCCTACCCGTAGAAACTTGAGGCCAGTTTCAGAAAATGAAACCTTCGCTCCACCCTTCCCCGCACGATCCCAGCAACCGTCGTAAGTGTGAACCAGTATGAAAATGTCTACGGAGATCATCTGAGATCATGGTTGTCCCCCCAAAGGTGCTTTTGAAAGACACGTATGGAGTTTCTGGGTTTTTTCCTTTTCTTTTGAAGACGTTTTGCTTCTCATCCAAGAAGCTTCTTCAACTCTGACTTCCATTCCCCCGCAAAAAAAATCCAGTCAAGAGCTGAAGAAGCTTTTTGGAAGAGAAGCGAAACGTTTTCAAAGAAAAAAACTAGAAAATCCAGTTGCATTCTTTGGAGGGGGGGGGGGGAAGCCCCTTTGGGACGAGCATCCAAATTTAAATCACGTAACCGCGGGGATGCTGGGACGGTCATTAAGTGTGAGAAGTGGTCCTCAGTCCCTTTCTTTCTTTTTTTTAGTGCCGTCGTAAGTTCGAATTGTTGTTAAGTCGAGAATTACCTGTACTCTTTTAGTTTCTCCCAGATGCTCCAAGTTTTATCTCCAGGAGCAGCGAGATCGATGTGGCTTCTGGGGAGAACATGCTGTTCCTTTCCTGCTTAAGGAGATCCATGCGCTGATGCTGCCAAGCAGGCAGATTTTTTCAAAGCCACGGAGTGGCTCTCTGCCAACTGAGATCCCTACCAGCCAATCGGGCAAAAGAGGCTACAGCTTCCCTTCACGGTGCCAAGGGACGGACAAAGAGCTTTTAATAAATCCCTTGGCCACGCACGGCTCTCCCAGGCACGAGGGTTCAGCAGAGAAATCCCTCTCTATGTTGTTGTTATTGTTGTTATAAAAAAAAGTCCCTTTTATCTGTTGGAAGAGAAGTGCTCCTTTGCGAGAGAGACGTGACCTTTCCTTGCCAAGGTTCAGAAACAGTCATGGGGCTCTTTCTGGACAAGGGGNGCAAGAAGGGAATTATTCACCCCAAGAAGGATAATAAATGAATGTTGCTATCAAATAAAGAAAATGCAGAAAGATTATATGTTGTCTATGGAATAGTATTAATGGATATTATATACTATTTAATTTATCTAGACAAATATACATCATATAAATATAAATCATATAAATATATACATCATATATATACTATAAGATTAAATATGGTCCATATTTATAAATGTATATTATTTACCTAATTTATCTAAATATATCTATAAAGATTACATATGGTCCATACAGTATTATATATTAAATTACACACATACATATTAAATTATACATTTACTTAATGTACATATATATTTATCTTATCTAGCTAAATATAATTATATAAGTAATTGAATCATATAAATAAATATATATAATATTTATACACAAGTACACACACGTATATTTATCCAACTATATAAATTAGGTAAATAAATAATAAATATACTTACCCTTATTTTATTTATTATTCTAGTTTACATATTCATTATCGTATTTGTAAATTATTTATCTCTTTATTACCTTGAACAAGTGATTCTTTTGACTTCATTTCATTTCTTTTATTATTATTATTTTTAACTACAGCACTATATACATTTTTTTTTTTTTACCCAAAGGGAAGATTTCAGGAATTTTTGCCTTTCAGCTGGAAAAGTTGAAACTAAACCTGGACGCCCTTTTGAGGTTGGAGGTGGCACCTGGGCAACCTTCTGGTCCTCTGTGCCCAAGATGCCATGCGGACCCCGTAAATGAACCCCATGAATTTTGAGGAAATATCTGGACAACTGCCATCCCTCTCCTCACTCAAAAAAGCACCGTGCTGGTCTTTTATCCCCCAAGTGCTTTAATTTTTAGCGCCTCGGCACGGTTGACCCAAACATTAGCCAGATGGAGGTACATGGAAATAAAAGTGTCCACACGGGTCCGTTATCTTGATGGCATCCTCCACGTCATCCTTTGCGGCTCCATCTTGAGAAGGGGACACCAATCTTGATCCTTGTGGGGGGCTCTTACGGAGCTCGGGTTGGGTGGGGGTGGAGGTGGGGGGCTTAAACATCCCACTTTTGGGCCTTCGTTTTTCTTCCTCATGCAGCCGCGCAAAACCTCTGGAGGATCTCAAGGGAGTTCCGGAGAAGACGGCGGTGTGCAACGTTCCCGTGGCTGCGCTTGGTCGACCCGTCCGTTCGCCGTTTGAGTTTCAGAACAATCATCCTCGCACCCTCTTCGTCCTACCTGTTTGGCCTATGAGTTGGGGGATGACTCCAAAGCCTATGTGCCTCACACTTCCCATCCCCATGTCGAAGGGCTGGCAGGCGAGCAACGCCCGCCCCGCCTTACATTTCCAGAAGATAGCGATATTTTTCCCAGGAATCGAGCAGGAAATCTCGGACTTCAGTGAAGTTCACGGACAGTGCGATTATCCCCGCGAGGAGGACTAGTAGAAAAAGGCATTTCCGTAAGAAAAAACTCCTCGGCCGGGGTCCCTTTTTCATAAAATGATCCACGCAGTTGGCCAACGAGTACTTTTTCGGGAGGTAGCCGAGTTGGGCCTGAGCTTTATCAATTTTGAAGGTGTGTGTGACACACATATTGTGGACCTGTAAATCGGGAAGAAAGAGATTTAT